TCAAGGAGTGCCTTTACTCACCACTCCTCACCTGCCTACCGAGGCTCCTTAGGGTCCCAACAGGAAGCAGTTGTTTCTCACCACGAGAAAGAGTTGGCAAAATAGCTCAGTTCAAATTAGATCTAACCGAGAAGGAGGCTCAGCAGAAGCACTTCACTGAGGACTAGGAGCATAGGCTTTCCAAGCAGAGGGAAGACCTGCGGGAGTGCAAGGCCAGGTGCCAACACCTGGAGGCTCAGAGGGCTGAGATGGTCGGCCAATTCCAGGCCGTGACGCAGTCCCACTGGAACGAGGCCCTCCGGCTCTTCTCCACCAGCGGCTCTTCCCTCCAGCCTTCGCCCAAAGCCCCCCACCAGGAGGCTGAAGCAGACCCCAAGTTTAATTTCTGCCCCCCTCCGACCCCCATAAAAAGACCCCAAAGGGGGAGACTCTCTGCAGCACCACAAGCATTCATTGCATGTACCCATCCCGGGGTGACAGTTTGAGGACCCCTGATTTAGTGCAATATTAAAAATGCAAATAATTTTTCTGCAGACCCCCCAAATTTTCTCTCGGACCCCCAGTTGGTGAGCGCCGTCCTATAGCAATCTGAATCACGATTTGCATACCTTCTGTAAGACTGCAATTAGGGGAAATAATTCAACTCTGGGACGCCAGAATTAGACATTGCCGAAAACAAGGAAGATTGCTTATTGTTATCTTGTCTTTTTAAATTCTTCCTGCTTTTCCTTTCGTTTGTGGGGGAAAAACTGTTCTAAAATGAAATTATACTTCTGTATTTAGAAGCGTCAGCGAACCAGATTCCCCCCCCAGTCAAGAGTTAAGAGAGCTTAGAAATTTCTTAGCCTTCAAGCAAGGGAAAAAACGCCAAGGGTTAGCCAGATCTGAATTTTGTTTAAAAAAAACTTACCATCCTGGGGCACTGCCTGCGGGAAGTAATTGACCGGTTTATCTACAAAACAAAAGAAGAAGGGGAAAAAAATGAAGGCACGAATATCAGAAAACATGTGTAGCCCCTGAAGTGTTGTTTCCCCCCCCCTCCCCGCCTCTTGTTTACAGAAAAATGAGAATTATAAATGATAAACCCTTCATACAATTGGACTCAGAAGACCTCAGGGTTTTGTTTTTTTTGAGAATTGCTCAACGGACACCCTTCCTTCTTCCCCAAGTGAGGCTGCCTGTTGCTTCCCTGGATGAGTAACTCTTCTGCATCTTCCCTGCCCCCAAGCAGTGGTTTTTTTTGGCTTGGGGGGGTAGAAACTAGCCTCGGGTGAATTTGAAACAGATCTGCTTGAGTGCATCCTGAGCTGCGTTGAGAGAATTAGGTAAAGCTTCCCCTCGCACATCTGTGCTAGTCGTTCCCGACTCTAGGGGGCACTGCTCATCTCCGTTTCAAAGCCGAAGATCCAGCGCTATCCGGAGATGTCTCCGTGGTCATGTGGCCGGCATGACTCAACTCCCGAAGCCGCACGGAACGCTGTTCCCTTCCTACCAAAATTAGCGGTTCCTATTTTTCTACTTGCATTTTTTAACGTGCTTTCG